AGACCCTTCATCAGAAAAGCTTTTCTGATGAAGGGTCTAGGCCCGAAACGTCAGCCTTTCTGCTCCTATGATGCTGCTTGGCCTGCTGTGTTCATCCAGCCCTGCACCTTGTTGTCTCGGATTCTCCAGCATCTGCAGTTCCTACTATCTATGGTCTGATTTAAAAAAAAAAACATTAAGTTGCATTCAAATCTAGTCCTCAAATTGATCATGGCCTTTGAGTGAGAACTTGGTACACAACTATTGTTTCATTTTGTTAATCCTTATGGTTCAGTTAGCTGGATAGCTGGTTTGCAATGCAAAGTAATACGAGCAGCATGGTTTCAATTCCTGTGCTAGCTGAGGTTACCATAAAAGGCTCCCCTTTTCAACCTCTTCCCCCAACCTGAGGTGTGGTGACTAAACCACCAAAAAGTCTCTCTCCAATGAGAAGTCCTGTGGTTCAGTACAACTATGGTGACTTTAGCTCATGATATCTCAGTAAAGATATTGTACCTTAACATGTTTTATAACTAGATAGACAGTCTACTTATTGTGGAACTCAAGTTAAATAGCTAGCACATATCAAAAAGCAGTGAATGGCTGTATATTGCCAGCTTCAGTACTTGTCATACAGTTAGATTCATTCAGTTTAAAAGTTTGTTTCCTCACTGTCCTTCACTGGTAATTTGAAATCTGAATGAAGCTGCAACTCTGTCGTTCTCCTGTTTTGTTTATAGATAATAAAACGTTCCCTTGAAGTATGGGGTAGTGAGGAAGCTCTGCAAGAAGCAAAAGAAGCACGGCAAGAGAACAGAGAGAAGATGAAACAAAAGAAGTTTGACAAAAAAGTCAAAGGTAGGCAAAGAGGTCAAGATTAAACTGCTACTGGATCCCAGCCTGAAATAATTTCAGTAACGTTTTTCCCCATTCCCACCCACTTTTCTGACTTGTTCTTGCCTCTACCCTTCCTTTCATTCCCACACAAATAATACTCTATTGTTCCCCTGACCTCATTGTAGATCTTCGTCGAGCTGTGAGAAGCAGCCTATGGAAGAAGGAATCAGCTCTTCACCAACATGAGTATGGTCCTGAAGAACAACATGAGGAGGAGGAGGATATGTACAAGAAGACATGTGCCACATGTGGCCATCAGTTAGTCTATGAAAAAATGTAATTGATTTGATTTTATGCTTCGCTTGTTGTATAATGATTCAGCACTTCAATAAATGTATAGGTTGATTTTTTTTAATAAATTGAGCATTTCTGTACACTTGCTATTTTTGAAAAACTGTTTCAATACTGACATTTACCATTATCTTTCCTGAGCTTTGGTTTTTAAAAAGCATAACATAATCAAGTGTAACCACACAGGAAGAGGCCATTTGGTGCATGTCTGCACTAGCTCTTCAAATGAGCATCACTACCTACTGTCAAATCACCTGCTTTTTTCTAACACTGCACCAATTTCTATTTCTATCCAAATAATCACCCAAAGCTTTCTGTCATTTCATAAGGCATGTTTTGTAAATCACTTTAAAACTGTGCCCTCAGGCCATTCAGTTGTATTTCATGGTACAGAAAGTGACTATGCCATGCTTCCTCACATTACCACATACAAGATAGCAGTCAGCTCTCCTCATGGATGTCTTTATTTCAAAATCTTTTTGACAGTGTAACCGTTGGCCAGTCCTTGCTGTTCATCCTACAGAAAATACACAAACACTGCAAAGGAGGAAAAAACAACGTACAAACTGATGGCCAGAAAACAGCTCATTCTGCAATGGAACAACCTAATCCTCAATATCACTGGCCAGCAGTTATGTTTGAGGCAAAAATATTAAAACTGAAAAAAAGTAGAAATTCTTGAATTGATACTATAAAACTGTAAACATTTTTAATGTCACCTGAATTGAGTTATCCATTTTTGACACTCCACATTGATTTAAAACTCAATGTGGTGGTAACTAAACCAAGCCATCCATCTGATTGTGTCACCAATATATTTTAACATGAATGAGCATTGTAAAATTAATCTCAACTGCTTCAAAGTCCCATTGTTAGTCAACCTATGTCCAATCCCAGACATGCCAGAACAAGCCGTCTACCAGTATAGAACAATGATTTGTGCTTGCAATGAAAATTTTTATTTGCATTATGATGGTTTATCAAGGACTGTGCTCCAAGAATCAGGCCACATAAAGGAACTTCAGGTCAGAGGCCATCTCCATACCGCTAACCAATCAATATAACAGGACCTGCATCATTCTAAACAGTTACTTTGCAAGTAAAGCTTTAGCCATATATAATGTTAATTGTAAATCATGGTAAAACTCAAAAGCTGCAGCTGGGTTACACATCAAGGATCAACTCCTTCAGGCCTCTGAACCTTTGGCAGATGGTGGCTGACGTCCAAGGTAAAGTCTCAACGATGACCAATTAAAGCATTAGCACATCTGCCTCAATCTGATAACGTCTTTGAGAAATGCCACTTGTCTTGTGCTCACTAGTTTTGTATTCTTGGGATCGTCCCTTTCTTAATCAGTGGACTAGTCAACCTTTGACTCTTTATAGGGCTAGTTATTTTAATCAACCCGATCAGACATGCTGTGATACACCTCCAAAGTGAGTGGGATTTGAACCTGGATCTTCGGGCTGAGGTACGGTCATAGCCACTGTGCAACAATCAGATTACCCTGGTTTAGCATTCATGCTGACACCGAGAGGCAAAATGTGGAACTACCTGTCGCATGGGACAGCATTCTGAACTTTTCACTCAATCTTGAAGGTTGAGAAGATTGCCTTTAGTACAAACCATTCTCCTAAGCACCCCATAAATTTGTGTTTGTTGCAAACACAGTGATAGGTCAGCACAGGCATCAGAAACATATTAAAAGGAGAAATTCTTTGCTTCTACATCCAACATTGTCAGTCTTGCTGTCTGTGAAGGATGTGACTCAAAGCCACATTTGATTCAATGGCCCAATGTAATTTAATACATCACAGTCGGTTCACAAAGGAGCCACAAGGGTAATTTGATGGTTCAGAACATTAAATTGCAAGCAGAGGTCAAGATATGGCATTTGTTCTAAGTTTTGGGGAATATCAGGAAGGATATATAAAATTAGACTTCACAATCTCAAGGAAATGTAAGAGTTGCTAAACAAGTGTGGAGCTGGAGGAACACAGCAGGCCAGGCAGCATCAGAGGAGCAGAAAAGCTGACATTTTGGGTCGGGACCCTTCTTCAAACATCAGCTTTCCTACTCCTCTGATGCTGCCTGGCCTGCTGTGTTCATCCAGCTCCACACCGTGTTATCTCTGACTCCAGCATCAGCAGTTCTTACCATCTCAGAGTTGTTAAACAACCTATGATTCCCAGATTATATACTTAGAGTGCTATTTCATGGTTACTGCAAAGCTAGATTCTGATGATCAATTCAATTCCAACTATGCTACACTGAAACAGAAAAGCTTCAAACCATCTTTTTTCCTATTGTTGTATAGGCAATAGAAATAATCAATACTAAACTGTGGACTGCTTAAACATGCAGGATTGCCATGGAACTTGCTAACTAATGAGCCATCTTAGATATCTCTAGTTTTAAACATCTATGTGGAATTGATGTGGCACGAGTGCAAACTCACGTATCCCAATATCTGCAATATATTTCCTACAATTATCTTCAGGGTCCAACTGTTCACTTTTGGTTTGTCCTAAGATTTCGCCTTTGGCTTTTCCCACCAGACTGGCTGTTCATTAGCTTTTTGATCACCGAAAAACCAATCTCCAGACAAACAAGGTCTAAAACAATCTTTAGAGTGAAAGAATGACTTTGAGATGAAATCGGTACAAAGCTACACATGGGGGTCACAGATCAAGATACATTTGATATCAGCATTAAGTGTCCCAGATGTAAAGCTTTTTGCAATCTCATGGCTTTATGCTAGTGATATTTGAGTTTAATGAGCCATAACATGGCTCAGCTCAGATAAATCTGATGTACTATACTGAGAATTAACAATTTGCTCTGCTGCATCACAACGTCCAAACAACTTTCCAAATATTCAAGTGCAGGTTTGAAATCAAAATTGTGCAATAATGCAGTATAATGTCTGAGGTAGAATAATTTGTATCATTGGAGTAGTTTGCTGCTTCTTTAAGTATTTACTGTGCCATTAGTAAAATGGCACAATTTCCAAAATTTTCTTTCTCTCTCACCAATTTTTCTTTCTCCCATGTAGGTTTACATAGCATGTAGAGCACAGCAACAGGCTATTCAGACCAACCACTCAATTAGTATTTATTCTCCACTTCAGCCTCCCATCTTTTCTCATCAAAACGCACCGTTACGGCTTTCTATCCGTTTCTCCCTCAATGCGCACCTACTTTCACTTTAAATGCATCCACACTTTTCACTTTGACCGCTTTTTGTGGTAGCCTGTTCCAAAATCTTGTTCCAAACTAGTTCAAGGTAGAGCAACAGGTTAACTAAAGTTGGTGTAAAGTAGATTGCAATAAGAACAGTGGTTAGAAGACAGATGATTAAGGAGATATTGACTATCAGGAGCTAATTCATGAGAAGAATGGTGAAATGCATGCAGAATAACTTGAAACATGTTGTAAGGCAAGATATACAGTTGAGAAAAATGGTTTTGGCAAATACAGTCAGCAGTAAAAGACAGGAAATGTATAAGAATATCGATGCACTGGGTCAGAGACAAACAAAATGAAAAATGATTAAGAAAAGAAGAATCTCAGGACTGCCACTGAAAGTTAAAAAAGGCGGTCTTCTTCTGACTCTCAGTTTCTATACTGTCAAAAGTTGATGGGTACACCAGTTCAATAAGTTGGGCAATATTTGCAGTGATCATATCGACAACCTCCAAATCACCACCAATTTTAACTGGAAACCAATGCAGACTGTGAAACTGGAACAGCAAAAAAGGTAAAAGTCGCATATCTGTCAGAGCTGTTGGGAATGTAGCATTGTAGAAATTAGATCTGTGCAAGACATATCTTTAATATTCATTGGATTATTCTCCGTTGATTCATCCCATCAGAACTATGCAGAAACAGGACTTCATATTAATTCCTTACAACACTGTTTAATGGGGTTAGCAATGGAATGGAAAGTGGTCCATCATTTCACAGATGATATGCAATTCAAGGTACTGGAAGCAATATAAAGTAGGTTGATATGTGTCTTGTACAAGAGCAGCAACAAAAGCAGAATGGATCCTGACAAAAGTTAATTAATTCAGGTGTTAGGACCCAAGAAGAGGACAGGGTAAGCTTCAGATTCTGTAAAATATTCAAAAATTTAATCAAAATTGCAAAGTCATATTTTACTTGGCAGTATTCAAACTTTACTAAACTAAATGTCTCTGAATACAGATATTGCCAGATCTCTCAATACTGAATTAGATAGATGTCAGGGTTTTAAAAAAAATCTGTACCCGAGGGATGGTATCCTGTTTTATATACAATCTGGTGTTTTAAAAGAAGAAAATGCAGTTTGGGAAGAATATATGAATTCAATAAAATTAAATTTATAGTCCCCAGAGGTTTACCCATTTGTTGTTTCTGCTTTGCTAATACAATTTGCTCATAGCTTCATGACTTAAAACATAAGCTCCACCTTCACTTCAATAAGTCACATTAACATTTTGTAGGAATTCGTAGCGGCACATGAATTTTGAAGAATAAAAAGACAACATAGCATTAGGGGTCAGTTGATCATGAAACCAGTCCCATATTGCAATGTCAATTTGTATAAAGGACATAACTCAGGCACAGATACTCTGCTTTTGTACACAGCACCATTTTCACCTCAGACTCATTGCTGCTACAGATTCAAGCCACAGCCTTTTGATGAGACATGACCAACTGGTGATTGTTGAAGTACCAGCCTCATTGGTCAGTCAAAAGGGGTCTTGACCTTCTGTAGTACAACCAGATGGCTTAACAGTGACTGGACCCAATAAATTACAACATTGTTATCGGCCTTCAGTCATTTTCATTAGATTTATAAAAAATATTCATTAGTTTTTTCAACCATGTGGTAGCTTCATCTCTCCATTTCCCACTCTATGTGTGACTTGGATGGGTGCATAAAATTTTAAAACAATATACCCTCTCATTTTTTTTTTTAAAAAAAGGACAGTATCCCAAATAAATTTCAGTCCCATTGATATCAGTAGAGTTACCTATTTGCTGTTACTAGAACCAAAAGAACACAATACAACGTCTAAATTCAAAACTTTGGTCTACTATCAAGGAACACAATTTCAGACAAGTTACAACATGCAACTTAAATGTACAAACTGGAAGGTAGATCATAAGGATAGAGCAGGTATTAATTAGCAAGATGCAGTGTTACACTGTATCCAAAACCAAACCAGATGAAGTACAAAGCAAATTTAAAACTTAGGTCAATTTCAAAGACTTAAATCAAAACATGTATGTTCATCTCTTGAGCCTCTACAGTCTCTAACTATTAAAGTCTATTTGTTTGTTTTGAGGAGAGGAATCCTTTCTAATGTGAATGGCAACTTTCTTCATGCTCCATGGTTTTCACAGATAACTGGGCAAAAAGCTTCAGAAAAGGTATTATCGGTACAAGGGTGTTGCTTGTATTCACTGATGAAAGACTGAGAGAAGTGCCAAAAAATGGTGGGTTTGGAAAATACAGCTGCAGCACACAATCGTGACTACTGAAGAGCACAGAACTGCTGATAGACGGCTAGTATATGGTGGTCCAGCTCAGCTGTGAACAGCAGATTCTCCAGAGTGACCATGTACTGTTGAATGATTTGGTGATGCTATAAGACAGAAACAATGCAAATGTTAGTACTATCATACCAAAATATTGCTGACCTGAACTCCAGTTTGCAAGGTTGTAATGGCAGCAGTTCTCTGACTAATTTTGTTCAAATAGGTGTACACGCTACCCTTGTCCAAACATGTTTCTGCCAAGATTCCCGTCAATTCTTAATTGTGTAAAGTCACATCAATGTTTTGCCCGGCCACATGTAATGGAGAACATACCTCTCAGGCTACTGTGCAGCTACGTACCAGGAACTTAGTTGTAACATTGGTGCCTATCCAACGATTTAATAATTCTATACATAATCCCTAAAGTTAACTGAATCATTGTCTTAGCAGCCACCACCAGCAGTGCCAAATTGCTTTGACAACAAACATGGAAAACACTTTGGATGATACAACTTTGAACAACATATCCCAGCATTTTAACCTGAAGGAGTTCAGAATAATGAAAAAGGAAATAAATACACTGGATCACAATCCCTCTCATACAATAGAGCACTAGTGCACCAAGTCACAGACAACTCATGGCACAAACAAGAAGATTATGACTGGTTGTATCAAACTGACAGATTGTCTCAAAAGCAGTACAGTTGCCTCTACAACAGGAAGCTCTGGACTCAAGCACAAAATCTACACTGGTATTTTAGTGTGGAAATGAGAGAGTGCAGCAACTGTTGGAGGTGTTATCTTTGGGTGAAATGTTAAATTGAGGCTCTGTCTGCCTATTTGGGTGGATGCAAATGATTTCATTGCAACAAAAAGGACGAAGGAGTTAAACCAGTGTCCTGGTCAATATTTACCTTAACCAGAAAAGGTAGACAAGGATAAACTGCTCCCTTTAGATGAATTAGGGAATACTGAATTAATGTCTGTGCAAAAGACTGGGGTGGGGGAGAGAGCAAGTGAGGAGGTGCATTTTTATGCTGCATTGCTTATGTGTATGGTGGAAGAGGAAAAAATTAATGACTTTAAAAAGGAAACTGAATGAGTGCTTAAGGGAAACAAATTTGCAAGGCTATGGGAATCGAACACAAGAATGAGTCTTGATCGACTCACTCTATGCAGCAATGATTCACCAACTACACCCATCAAAACAAGATGACCTGATCATTCATCTTGCTATTATATGCAGCCTTTGCTCAGTGCAATTGGGCTGCTGCATTTACCTACACTTCAAAAGTAATCAATTAGCACCGAATCACTTTAAAACATCCGTAGAAGTTGCTAAAACACTAAATACCCCCAAAATTGCGCTTTCTTTAGGGTTATCGCATATATATTTCCGAGTATTTAGATAGAAAATATTTTATTAACACCATACCTTATATTGGCCAAATTATTTTTATGATCAAAATAACTAACCTGGAGGAAAATTTGCTGTAAACGTCCAATGCAGTTCTTATACCAAGGTGTATTAAAATCAATCCCACCAGTTTCACACCTTGCAAGATGTTCTGTCAGGATCATTATAAAACGCTGTGAAGAATAAAGAATCTTCAGTACTTAAATGAAGAATTCTATGGAACAAATGTGAAAAAAAATAAGTGAATTAAAACAGGGGAACCCAACATACAACTTTACCTGGAAAATTACTAAGAAGAGGTTTTTCTGCTCACTTTGAGCAGATTCAACCTTCTCCTGAAGACGTTCAATCTGTTCTTCCAAAGGACCATCTTCATCTTCATCACTGTTCTGATCATAGTCATCATCACTGTCTCGCTTTAGAAAAAAATACAATCATACCATTGCTCTAATTATTAGAAATTTTATACTCTCCCCATAAAATTGTTCTAAGTCATTAATAATGTTTTAATTTCTTTCCCTCCGTTCCAAATTGCTTTTTGGCAATTTCTTTCTAACAAATGGTTATATTTCTGTTTGGGGGACCCATAATTGCCATGTGCTGCATCTGATGTTGAGCAAATGTCCAAATCTCACTCATGCTTTATTGGGTCTCAGATCACATTGATCACAGCCAAACAAGTAGTTTATGTTCTTTTCCCATGCAAAATAAAACCAGTTTAATCAGAGTAACATTTTTATTTTTGCAACATGGAAGATCGGATATCGCAAGTTGTTAAGCAACACATACCGGTCAAAACTCTATTCTACATCTCCCTACTAAATGGAGTTCTCAGTTTCAAATGTCGCCTTGCTCACTGTATCACCCGGTGATACATACAAGGAATCACCTCGTTGTTACAGTAACAAGCCACTTTGCTTTCTTCCCTTAACACTAGAAAATTAGAAATGGATTGCTGGTCATTTGAATTCTAACAGGTTAACTTTACTGAGGATTCTTGTCTTCCTTCCAAATATGGAGCTCATGAATATTTGCTTTCTTGAGAGCCAGAGCTGGCACTGATGGTGTCCACTGCTCCACTCTGTGTTGCCAAAGGACTGATTCCACGTAGTGACCAGAAGTCTCAGTGCTCCCTCTCATGGCATAGAATAAACATTGCAACCACATTTTCACCAGTTCATTTTTTTAATCTCAGATCCTAATCACAAAAATTATATCTTCTAGTTCATGAAAACTATGTATTAAAGAATAGTCTTGACATGTGTGTCCATACAATCAATGTAAAGATACTCTTGGCTATTCTATTTGTAGTGATGTAACAAGGTGAGCTAGCAGGACCTCATAGAATGTATGGAGTTCCCTGACTGGGACTGTTAATCTCATCCAATCAGGGAGCCTGATATAAGAGCAGGACTGTCTGACATCCTATTCACTCAGAGCTGGATAAATGTCAAGGACTCTCCACATGTAAATAAAGGGTGACTTGATAACAGGATACTGGCTCTATGGAGTTATTTCACTGTTCTTTCCAGCTGGGTTACCTCTGAACACATATCAGCTCTTTTGAAAGGACCTAACAGGCAGACCTGATAAAGTGATAAATCAAAAGAACACCCAAGCACATACTACCTCAGAAGAAGAAAGCACAGATAGAATGAGACTTTATACAGGAAGGTTGAAAACCAATCCAAAACCAGGACAAACGCACTGACTGGCGAACATTGATCATATGTATTTACAGCACAGGAGGGCATTCATTATATTGATACCTATCAGCTGAAAGAAAAAGCGATACATTCCAGCAGTGGCTTGGTAGCCATCAAAGGAGTTGCTCTGACCTAGATCTGATGTTGACTAAAGGTCTAAATTTCCCTCATGTTTTGCACAGTCAATAGAAGCACTTGTATCACGGATACATATTTGTTTTTGTTCTGTTTGCATGCAGCATGAAACCAGTCTGTCGTCTAGCCCAAGGAATATTTTCTTGTTTATTTTGTTGCAAGCTTTTTTTTTAAAACATGTGATGGAATTTCTCCCCTCTTCACTCTTCCAGCTAGCAAGTTCCAGACCCACATCACATGCCTAGGTGAAAAGTTTCTCAATCTTTCTACCAAACATATTAAAACAAATGTCCCCACAAACCTTGCCTATATGCAAAATCAAAATGTTGGAAATACTCAGCAGGTAGCATCTATGGAGAGGAAGTTATGATTCAAGGTCAGGACCTTTTAATCGGAACTAGGAAAAGTTAGCTTTTAACGAATTGAAATAGGGGAAGAGTGGAAAAAAGTGATGCTTTGTAATGATCCAGAAGAAGGAAATATTGAATGACAAAAGTATGGGTGAGCAGAACCAGAGGGAAAAATAATGGGACAAGTGAAGAAACATGAGATAGGTCCAAGGGAGGTGTAAATGGTAAAATAACACCCAGCTACCAAATGAGAGCAAAAATGAGAAAAACAAAGTTAACACCAACATGGTGAAAGAAGAGGGGGCAAAATGGGGAGTACTCCCTGTTTAATTTCAATTAAAACTCTTCAAAGTTCTGATGAAAGATCACATCCTGAAATACTAACTCTGTCTCCGTTTTTATTTCAGAATTCCAGGATCTGTAGCATTTTGCTTTCGTATTAGATTTTCCTACACATTCTCCCCCAGTCCCTCAATTTGGTACATCTTACACCGTTCATCACCAGAGCTATATTCACTCAAAAGGTTCAGCAGAGGGAGACAGCAACTGAGAGATTGCAAATCAGTGTGAGGATGGGTCCATACGGTTCAGTAGGGTCAGACAGCAGGAGATGTGGTGAGCAGGATTGGCAGTGGTGGAGAAGCAAGTAGAAAGGTTTTTCTTGCAGTTTGATCATTTATTTTATTTGCCAGTTTAGAAATTTAGCATCATAAAATATTTCAAGTTATAGGCTCTAATGTTTTAATATTTTTCTGATGAGGAAGATCCTATAGAAATTACAGCTTTTACATTAATCTAAATGATAAAATCTGATTTGCTTAAAGTTGCTTCATTTAAAGTCACACTTTTCAGGAATGGAACTACAACTTGAAGTGAGGACTTAATGTACAGTCTTGATATAATGAACTGGTTAAGTGTGTCAAATGTGTTTAGTAGACTGATGTTTGTCAGACTAGTTGTCATAATGTGCTTATTCCTGGTTCCTGTATTTTAGGTGCAGTTTTGGTAGTATACAGCACACAGCAGCCCAAGTTACAACACAAACTACAGCCACCAGAACCAGATGACAGCAAAATAGGGAGCCCTAGATACAGCTGTTCCAGTACTAATCTAGTACTTTTCCAGTTCCATTCTGTGATGAGCAGGAAGCCCAGTAAAAGAAGACAAGTGACTTACAATGAAATAGCAGTGTTACAGGTGGGAAAGACCTTGACTTTTCTTTACATCAGGAACAGAATATGTATTTTGAAAATATTTTCTATTAGCTCTGAGCAACACCAATCTATATTCAAAAGTCACTGGAAATCTAAAATAAGAACAAAAAACTGCTGGACATACTCAGCAGATCAGGAGGCATCTGTGGAGAGAAACATAGATTTGTTTCAGGTTAATTTCTGATGAAAGTTCAGCGACCTGAAATGTTAACTCTATTTCATTCCACAGATGCTGCCAGATCAGCACTTTTTCCCCTAAACTATATTCAATTAAATTTAACTTAAAATAAACTTACTCTTTTGTGCTGTTTATCCAGTTTGTCTTTCGTCTCTTCAAGCTCCTTTTGGACCTTTTGCACATGTTTGTTCATCTTTCGGATGGTGGAGTGAAGAATCTCCCAGACATACAACCTAAAATGCCACAGAACAGTTAATTCCACTCAACTGCAAAGACTGATCATAGTAGAATACTGTGGCGTCAAGTAATCATGCAGATTACCTAGTGAAATCGTGTGCCATTTCTGAAGAGAAGATCCAGTTTGCTACTGCTGCACAGTCTACAATCTGTGTTCTGATCATTTTATCAACCAACATGGCCATCATCTGCAGAATATCAAGAAAGAATGGTTAGCAGACGGGAAAGTAATATGATTTCATACTCCCAGCAGAGAGCTGTAACTGAACGGAGGAGGGGGTCAGACAATAGCCTCCATCACAGCTCCAGCGCACACTCTTTTCAAATGTGGCTCTCCATGTGAATGCAGTGTTCTATTTCAGGCAAGGTTGTCTTGGCTGACACCCAGGAGCATGCACACTAATAGCAAAATAACTCAAATAAATTGAAATAAAAAGTGATAAAGACCTAACAAACACAAAAATGAAAATAATGAACAAGTAAGTATATCAGTTAAGGAAAAAAATTAAACAAGATAGATTTTGTTGTAACACTAAAAAAAAAAAAGGGCTTTAGATTGCATGTGCAAAGTCTAAAAATAAAATCAGACGTGAGCTTGGGCAGTCAGCATTTATCATTGATTGTGGGTGTCAGCAAGCATTCCAATCAGGCAAAGGGTAGTTGATGGTTTAGGTCACTTTGAAAAGGCAAGGAGAAGAAATAGTATGAGAGCTCTGCTCTCAACTTACAGATGTGTTATTTGACAAGAGAGAAAGGAAAAACTATTACCTGAGGATGACACTTCCAAACATCAAACATGACTCTTAGTACATGCAGCTTGCCCTCATCACCTTCAGCCAAAGTCTTAAAAATTTCATGAAACCTACAAGAAGAAACAAACAACTGGTAAAATTTATGCAAATAAATATAGAAAGAAACATCACAAAAATGGTGGCGTGAGAAATGGAAGGCTATGTAGCATTTTCTAGACTCTTGACAGATACCCATTCTCTCTCCGTCATTTTATTGCTGCCTTTCACTCTCTTTGTACCGTTTGCCCAAATAAAGAAGGTGCTAAAACTTTTGGTTGACTCGGCCCTAGATATTTTGCTCTTCCTTAGTTGAAGCACTTACTTGTGCCCGCTGCCTCTCCAAAGGGTCAAATAAGCAACTAACTGAGGAATCAATGATACCAATCTTATTCCATTTGTTGGGAACCACCAGGAATAAGCATAGTACAACACGTCACATTCATGGGCAAGGTACAGATGCTCAGAATTAATCATTAAGTGATAGAAATGAAACTTGGCCTGCTTACTGCTTTACCTGACCCCTTGAGAACACCAATTATTCTGCATTATGATCTTAGATGAGACGGCCAAAGTTGTTCGTTTGACCAGGGACTAGCAACTGCATTTTGTTTTTAAGATAAACAAAATAAACAAAATAAACTTAGCTAAACTTAGCAAAATTAGAACAGTAGAACAACTTACAGTATATCGCCCATACCCTAACATCCACAATTAACATGAAGTAAATACAAGTAACAGAAACAGTGGTCAAATACACCACAGAGTATATCAAATAGCAAATATGGTCAGAATTAATGCACGGATTTCTTAGCAAAGGAAGTAATCAAATCACATTGAAACTTTGTGTACATCACAAGGAAGATCAAATCTTCACCTCTGAAGATCTAGATTTCAAAATTCCTCAAAAGCCACTCCATCACAGACTGTTCAACAACTGCTCACATCAAGTTAGTTCAATTTCTTCCTGACATTGCATTCAGCACTCACTCACGGATACATTTCTTGTTTTTTTGTAGATAGCTGGCTTCACTGAGCTCCAATATTTCTCAGCTGCACCAAGCAAGTACTGTTGTGGCTTCATACCTCCCCACTCTCGGGCTGCACTGAACCACCAATAGTTACCAAGACTCCTTCCAAAACCCAGTCCTATCAGATTGTTCTCAGGGCTTCTTATGAGCCCTAAACCCAAATCCTACTTGCACCTAATGGTTCTCAGAGCTTCTGAGAGCTCCAACTGGTCAAAGCCTGCAACAATAGCCTCTTTTCGGTATGCCCTAGATTCAAATCCCGTCAGAGCAGATGGCTGAATTTGAATTCAATGCAAAAAAAAAATCTGGCATTAAGAATCTACTGATGACCATTAATCCATTGTTGATTTATGGAAAACCCATCTGATTCACTAATATCTTTCAGGGAAGGAAATCTGCCATCCTCACCTGGTCTGGCCCACATGTGCCTCCAGACCCACAGCAATGTGATTGGCTCTCAACTGCCCTCTGAAATCACCTAGCAAGTCACTAATGTTCAAGAGTAGCCAGGGACAGCCAGCAACGCCCATGTCTCAAGTGAGTAAATAGAAGTCATCTCTTTTCCTCCACGTGGATTTCACGGTCAGGTTTTTGTACCACACCCACCCTACAGCCACACCCATTCGCAGCTGCACCCCCCAAAAAGAACCTGGAACGCTCATCTGAGGATGTGCAGCCTGTTCTGCTCTGCACATGCACTGAAACTCAGGGGGCTTCTAAAAATTGTAATGCTCAGACTCTGTCCAAAAAAAATAAAAAGTTCGGGCTTCTTAACAACTGCTTAGTGGACTGCGTTAATTGTTCAGCAGGATATTGGTTAACTGTAAAGATCAGTGAAGCGGGAGAGCAAAAACCAATATGTTGTACAACAAAAATAAATCCCATTATTCATTGAGTTAATTGCAGGATTATAAATGAAGTGGCACACAAGCATCCATTCCCAAACATTTTGTTAATAGAAAAGGAATACACTTACTTTGCCAAAGCACTGAAGGAATGGCTGAAGGATTTGGCAGCCAAGTGAAGTAAAGTCTGCACGAAAACTTCAATCTTCAGAGGATTAAAGCTGAATCCTTCATCTGAAAAAGTGTAGCTCAAGAAATTTGGTCATTTAATCCCAACAGCATTTTTCCAAATTAAGGTAACAGATTAAACCAATCTGAGAGCCATGCTAAATTATATTAACTGAGTCGATGGCATTTTAGAACCATATAATGATGGGAGGATATCCATTGTATATGTGAGAGGTTTAGATAGAAATAGACAATTAGTTCCTCTCCTTGGCTCTTTACCCAGTTCAGAATTTTTTTTGCATTTCATCTATCTATCTATCCACTTTCCTTTAGAAAATTGCTAGTAAATCTGCTTCTACCACTTTTAGATAGTGGGTTTCAGGCCATAGCAATTCATTATGCAAGAATATTAGTTTCTGCATGCCACCTTTAGGTCTTTTGACAATCATCTTAAATCTGTATTCTCTGTTTATCATCACTTCTGCCAGTGGAAATGGTTCCTTCATATTTACCTCATCAAAGCCCTTCATAATTATTAATTATTTTCAGAATGCCTGGCAAAGTGATACTTCTACATCATCAAAAGTCTTGCTCTTAACAGTATTGACAGATTTAAAATCAGTGAACTAGGAAATACCAGAATGTTGACAATTGCCCATTCAGAGTGTATGGCTGGTAATAAGTTATTCATCTACTGGCATTAGGATTAACACATATCCATCAGTGCCAAATGCCAGACATGCAACCCTCACTTCTGTTCCTAAAGTTATAGCAATGGAGGGAGGCAATCATTTTAGCCTGGGTAGCTTGGGCCATCGCTGGATTTTTTTTTTGAAAAGATATATTTGTTCATGGGAAGATACAAAGAACTGCAGATGCTGGAGTCAGAGTTAACACAGTGTGGAGCTGGAGGAACACAGCAGGTCAGACAGCATCAGAGGAAGAGGAAAGTCGACGTTTCAGGTCAGGACCCTTCTTCAGAACTGGGGAGGGGGAAGGGAGCTGGGAAATAAATAGAGAGGACGGGTGGGGCTGAGGGAAGGTAAGTGGGATGGTGATAGGTGGACGCAGATAGTGAGTCGTGGGGATTGGTCAGTAGGAAGGGTGGGGCAGATAGTGGCAGAGAAGATGGACGGGTTGTGTCAGGTCAAGGAGGCGAGAGGGAGGAGGGGTGGGGCTGGGGGAGCGGAGGTGGGATGGTGATAGGTGGATGCAGATGGGGGGGGGGAAGTAGGGATTGGTCAGTGCGAAGGGTGAGGCAGATAGGTGGGGAAGAAGATGGGCAGGTCGTGTCAGGTCAAGGAGGCGGGGATGATATACCTATGCCCTTTAGCATTTGACACTTCCAACCTGGGAAAAAGACTTTGACCATCCAACCTATCCACGCTTCCATGATTTTATATACTCCTCAGTCTCCGATGAGAGAAGAAATCCAATTGTCTGAATACTGACTCCTAAATGAACTCACAGCCTAAAGAAAAAGTCTGTTCACTACATTGTGCTTGGCCAATAGCACACCGAAGTTGCCATGTCCCTTTGGATATCATGTACCTCTATTTTCTGAAGTAGTCTGTTATGAGGCACTTTATAACGTGTCTTTTGAACGTCCATAGCACATCCACTGCACTACGTAGAAGGATGGGTTAGTAAATTTGCGGATGACACCAAAGTCGGTGGAGTTGTGGCTAGTGCGGAAGGATGTTGCAGGTTACAGAGGGACATAGATAAGCTGCAGAGCTGGGTTGAGAGGTGGCAAATGGAGTTTAATGCAGAAAAGTGTGAGGTGATTCACTTTGGAAGGAGTAACAGGAATACAGAGTACTGGGCTAATGGTAAGATTCTTGGTAGTGTGGATGAGCAGAGAGATCTCGGTGTCCATGTGCATAGATCACTGAAAGTTGCCACCCAGGTTGATAGGGTTGTTAAGAAGGCGTACAGTGTGTTACGTTTTATTGGTAGAGGGATTGAGTTTCGGAGCCATGAGGTCATGTTGCAGCTGTACAAAACTCTGGTGCGGCCGCACTTGGAGTATTGCGTACAGTTCTGGTCACCGCATGAGAGGAAGGATGTGGAAGCATTGGAAAGGGTGCAGAGGAGATTTACCAGGATGTTGCCTAGTATGGAGGGAAGGTCTTATGAGGAAAGGCTGAGGGACTTGAGGCTGTTTTCATTAGAGAGAAGGTTAAGAGGTGACTTAATAGAGACATACAAGATGATCAGAGGATTAGATAGGGTGGACAGTGGGAGCCTTTTTCCTCAGATGGTGGTGGCTAGCACGAGGGGACATAACTTTAAATTGAGGGGTGATAGATATAGGACAGATGTCAGAGGTAGGTTCTTTACTCAGAGTAGTAAGGGCGTGGAATGCCCTGCCTGCAAAAGTAGTAGACTCACCAATTTTAAGGGCATTTAAATGGTCATTGGATAAACATATGGATGATAATGGAATAGTTTAGGTTAGATGGGCTTCAGATTGGTTTCACAGGTCGGCGCAATATCGAGGACCGAAGGGCCTGTACTGCGCTGTAATGTTCTGTGTTCTTAACCCTTTTTATCACGTCAAAGAATTCAATCAAGCCAGTCATAGAGTCACAGAGACGTACAGCATGGAAACAGACCCTTCAGTCCAACTCGTCCATACCGACCAGATATCCTAAATTAATCTAGTCCCGTTTGCCAGCATTTGGCCCATATCCCTTTAAACGTTTCCTATTCATATACCATCCACATCCCTTTTGAATGCTGTAATTGTACCAGCCTCCACCACTTCCTCTGGCAGCTCATTCCATACACGCACCACCCTCTGCGGGAAAAAGTTGTCCCTTAGGTCCCTGTTAAATCTTACCCCTCTCAGCTTAACCTATGCCCTCTAGTTTTGGACTCCCCCACCCTAGGGAAAAGACCTTGTCTATTTACCCAATCCATTCCCTTCATGATTTTATAAACCTCTATAAAGGTCACCCCTCAGCCTCCGATGCCCCAGGGAAAATAGCCCCACTCTATTCAGCCTCTCCCTATAGCTCAAACCCTCCAACCCTGGCAATATCCTTATAAATCTTTTCTGAACGCTTTCAAGTTTCACAACATCCTTCCTAAAGCAAGGAGAGGAGAATTGCCCACTGCATTCCAAAAGTGGCCTAACCAATGTACTGTACAGCCGCAACATGACCTCCCAACTGCTATACTCAATGCACTGACCAATAAAGGCAAGCATACCAAACGCCTTCTTCACTCTCCTATCCACCCGCAACTCCACTTTCAAGGAACTATGAACCTCCACTCCAAGTTCTCTTTGTTCAGCAACACACCCCAGGATCTTACTTTTTGTGTATAAGTGGGCCCTGATTTGCCATTCCAAACTACAGCACCTCACATTTATATAAATTAAACTTCATGTGCTACTCCTTGACCCATTAGCCCATTTGGTCAAGATCCCATGTACTCTGAAGTAACCTTCTTCGCTGTCCACTACACCTCCAATTTTGGTGTCACCTGCAAACTTACTAACCATACCTATGTTCAGATCCAAATCTTTTATACAAGTGACAAAAAGCAGTGGACCCGGTACTGAACCTTGTGGCACACCACTGGTCACAGCCTCCAGTCTGAAAAGCAACCCTCCATCACCCTGTCTTCTACCTTTTAGCCAGTTCTGTATCCAAATAGCTAGTTCTCCTTGTTTTCCATGTGATCTAACCTTGCTAACTAGTTTACCGTAAGGAGCCTTGTCGAACACCTTACTGAAATCCATATAGATCACGCCCACTACTCTGCCCTCATCAATCCTCTTTGGTACTTCTTCAAAAAAACTCAATTAAGTTAGTGAGACATGATTTCCCTAGGACAAAGCCATGTTGACTAGTCAGATATGATATCTGTACTAGCCATTATTAACACTCAATTTTCTACGTGAGAATTAATTGTGTCTTTGACAATGATCTGTATTAGTTTTCCACCAAAATTAAAATAACTCCTCACCATCATCATCATCCTCTTGATTAGGATTTGGTAGGTCTTTTAGTATGCTCAAGATCTCATCATTGCTTGCTTTGCTTTTAATAGCACTGCAGACACTGACAGCCACAGCATAACCAGGCAGAGAACCTAAAACATCAACAAAAATAATGATGTCAAGTGGGCTCAAGAGTTCATGTCAAATTATTAAATTTCATTTGGTAACTTTTTAGTTCATTAGGGGCTAACTACATTTGTTTTTATTTTTAAACACAATTGCTTTTACTGCAGCATTGCAAAGTAGAATAATGTGTGACTCATTCATTATCATAAATGAGGGAAAGCAGAAGAGGGGGAACCAGTAACCCCACACATATCACATGCAAGTGATAAGAGCCAGAGGGGGAATACACAAATACAAAGACATTGTATCCAAATGCACAAAACAGACAGTGCCTATATGAGGGTGAATGCACACATTTTTATGGTAGAGCATGTGTAACTACCATGAAAGTGAGAAAAGAGCTAGGGAGATCTAAAACCATAGAAATGCTGCAGAACATCAAGAGAAACTGTGACACATTAGTGTACTTCACTGCACACCGAGCAACATGAATGTATAATCAGATTTAAGTCAGTATCGAGCAGTTATTCATTCATCAATGTATTTTCACTGAGCTTAATATTTAATTCTTTCACTGAAATATAACTTTTAAAGGAGCAGAGATATGATTTTTCAAGAAGCAGGCCCAAGATAAATTGCAGCACTTAAGGCCAAGATTGCAATTTGTGAAGCAAGGATGATCATATCTAAACCTTTGATGGGGCCTACTGTCTTCCAATTTGTTGACTAGATATGTTAAAGTTATATAATACTAGTTGGGGACTACATTACAGTTCTTATGCTAATGCAAATTAAACAGATAAAATATAGTTCTCAATATGTCTGCATGACAGAAGCTACCAAAATCATCAGCTTATAAGGCAGAAAGTTCCAATCTCTAAGTCAAATCAGGTGTTTATTACTTACTGTTGCTCTCATCACCGTACTTGTAAATACACAGTGGATTTGCTGGTAACAAAGCTGCAAAGTTCTCAGGTACAATATCCACTATCCTTTGATAATAGGAAAGCCTGTGAATAAGATGGCAGCATACATTTATATACAACATATACACATGCATATTCATAAAGATGCTGAAAGATACCCATCGACTATTCAATCAAACACAGAAACGGAAACAGAAATTGCTGGAGAAACTTAGCAGGTCTGTCAGCATCCGTGGAAAGCAGAGTCGATGTTTTGGGTCCAGTACCCTTCATCAGAACCATGATGAAGGGTCACTGTGCCAAAACACTGACTGCCTTCTTTCCATAGATGCTGCCAGACCTGCTGGGTTTCTCCAGCAATTTCTGTTTTTGTTTCAGATTTCCAGTTCTTGGTTTTATTAAACAAATTCAGATGCTGACACAAGAAAGTTAAACAAAAAATAATTATAGGAAACAACTTCAGGTAAAATCCTGCAGAATTTGGCACTTTTCCCCCATTGTCTTGGATCATTTTTCTTTACCCAAAGATCATAGCTAAAGAATGTGAAAAAAAGAGAATACTTCGAGTGGTAGGCCATCATAGGTCATCTTGAATAAAGTGAACGGGCTTTAAAAGGAATTCTGTTATTTTATTACTTCAGATAATTTAAAATGACAGAAGTAGTGTCTGTGCATCTTATTGGATTTCTTAATTCCCTTAATGATGAAACACTAGAAACCATGGAGGAGCAATAAAAATGTCCTCATGCACAAGCCACAAAACTAGTGCACAGGAACAAAATGTACAGCTGAACACACCACACCTGAAAGGGTAAACTGATCTTGGGATGAGTACAACACAAAGTTGCCAAAATGAATCTGGCCGACAGGGTTAAATCCTGAGAACATTTTGTTTATGTTCCAAGGTCCAGCCAATACTATCTACATTCCACTTCAACAACTCAAAATAAAAAAAGTAGAAAGCAAAAATTGGACAAATCTGTGGTTGGATAATCATTAACTGGCTCTAATTCATGTCATATCAGATCTGGTTCTCATCCCCCCTTTATGTCAATGAGGCTTTAGCACAAAATGGATTGCAGGAGTTCAAGAAGGCAGCTCTCCACCACCTTCTCAAGGGCAGCTAGGAATGGGCAATAAATGCTGGCCCAGCCAGCAATGGCCCACTCTCATGAATGAATAAAAAATTGATTAAATAGTCAAATCATTTATAGATTGAAAAAATCCCACTGGAATAGTAAATGCACAGGCTTATGCAGATCACATTACTGGATGGTCTGAAGCTTGCTATTCTTTCATAAACCATTCAATATTTATATTCCATTTTTACCTTAGAAAATATCCCAGGTCCCTCACAGAGGTAAAACAGACAAAGAGCAGAACAAAAGTCAGGAGGTATGATCCTACACAGATTTAAATGTGAAAGATAAGGTCGGTTGGGAGAAGGGTCAGAGTTGGAATTATTAGCTAGGCTGAGACAACTCAATGGTTGGAAAGGAAAACAGGTAGTCAGAAACAGTACTGAGGAGCGCAAATAGGTATAGAGATTTCCTAAATCAACCTGTTCAGAGATTACACACTTCAGGAGCAGGTAAGACTTGAACCTAGGTTTTCTGGTTCACCACAAGTGACCCACAAGCTGGGATACAGAAGTGAGGGAGATTACATAGATTAGGTGGAAGGATTTGTAAATAAGGAGCAGGAGTTTTAATACATGGCACAAAATATCAACCCATTATGAAAACTCAACAGATACTGTTAATCATAAACATCCCAACCAGATACACATTTCACCTCGAAGGAAGATTCTGTAAAAAATACAAATACAAATTTCTCACCCCAACCTAAACATCCGAGCAGATCATACTCCAAGTCATTCCAAATTATTATCACGCTCTACAGGGATCAAAACATTACACTAAAAAAAGTTTTCACATGCTCTGCTACACAAGGATTAAAGTTCAGATTGCACACACATCGAATGCAGAGCAGGCATAACTAAAGCTGAAATCTTCCAAGATCCACAAGGAGGCTACTACAACAGGAACTTGAAACAGCAAGTCTCACAGTGAAGATTCACAGTATTAATATAACCATTGCACAGCTGAATAGATTACAAAATTCCACATGTGGCAAGCTGAAGTTAATTTTAGATCTAGGGTCTGGTTAAACAAAACACAAGCTCACATTTGTGACTCTGCAGCTCAGTTAGAAACTTCATCTTTGCACACTAATGATGCCTCTTACCTCCAAACTCTAACAAAAGTTATGTTTGTGTATAAAAACTTAAAGTTGATGTTTATTAAATATTGTACACCATCCCTACATAAGATTTTCTGTATCTAGATGTTTAATTACTCATGCCTGTCAAATAAACGCCCAGCTCACTTCATGACAAATTTAGCAAGGTTGGCCTTGCCAACTTTGAAAGCTAGTGTACAGAATTAGCAAGATTGATACAAATAAAATTCAAAAATTTATTTACCTCATGCATTTTTCCAACACTTCACGCAAAAACTTTGGTTTGGCTTGGTCAGGGTCCAAAGCCAAACAATCAGACCTGTAGAGGGATAGGAATAAAGTGAAAGAAGAAAAATGTTATTTATGTATTTCAGTGTAAAATCTAGAAATAGATTTAGAGCAAAGCCAGTTAAGCTGTGCCTCTCTTATTGATTTGTCCTGCTTGAATTTTATGGACTGAAGATTTGGCATGGATTGATTTTAAACACTACTCCTTCATGGATGAACACATTCTAAAAGAGGACACAGAGATCCATCAACAGCAACAATTTAAGATATGTGAAAACTAAAGGGAGCAGCCATTAAAACTTTATGGACTAGATTTCTGTGTGAGCAGTATAACAATGATCCATGTGTCTTGGCTTCCTTATTTCCCAACATCAGTTTGATTCTGGCACCATGTCAAGGGGACTTCCAGGTGTCCCCATCAAGCAGAGTATGCAATCAATCACACTGAAGTATTTGCATAAGCAGTATACCTACAAGTAAAAACCACTGAATCCCTTTTCAGTTTACACTTTATTTATTGCAAAATAAGTTACCGGGACATACATATAGGTTTAGGTTAGACGTTAAAATATTCTAAGCTTTTTTAAAAAGAAGTAGAATCTTGTATAAAAAAGAAATTTGACAGTCAATAAATATAAATTTACTCCTTCAGAGCTAGTGCAACTGTTTATCCCTAATTATGAACAGTGTGCAGTCTAAAAGCAAAATTAGACCACAATCAAGGAGGTGTATCTTTCCCATGGATGTTTTTACAGCGAGACTATGTACGTAAGAATACAAATTCTGGTACCTTCAGTGTTTTCAAATTAATTTCATTTGTGGGAAAGGGAAAACACGACAATGTATTCTTTGGAGAATGTACAACTACCAAAAGCAGTTGTCAATTTCAGAGCACCAACAAGAACGAATTCTGAATGTTTTGCTATCATTGCTACTGTAAATTCCAGGCCTACATGTGCTGCCTGAGGTTCTCCAATATGTGGTCAATAATGGTAAACATTTTGCTTCCCTCTCCCCCATTCTTGTGCATGCCAATTCTGCCCCAATTGAGCAGTTAAATGGTGGCCCTATCCTTCATCGCTCATTGCACAGTGGATCACTCACCAAGACACTTATACATCACATCTATATGCAAAGGATTACTAAAAGAATTCACACAAGTCTCAATGCTCAAAGATCTTTGAGCAAACTCTAAGAAGTGATATCCTGGGCCTTAAAAGTTCACATCTAGATTACTGACTTGAATGAAGGGAGCAATTATATTGTAGCCAAATTTGCAGACTTACGAGGATAGGCAGAAGATTCTGCAAAAGGACAGAGGTAGGTTAAGAGAGTTTGCAAAATTTTGGCAGATGGAGTATAATGTAGAAAAATGTGAGGGTGTCCACTTTGTCAGAGAGAATCTTATTATTTAAGATTGCAGAATACTCTGGCATAGAAGGATTTAGGAGTCCTCACATGCAAATTACAAGAATTTAGCATGCAGGTACATCAAGTAATTAGGAGGGCAAATAGAATTTTAAAAAACTTTGAAGAGGGCTGGCAGCATCTGTGGAGAGAGAAAGTTAACACTTTGAGTCTGATATAACTTTTTCAAAGAAGTAGTTTTGACCTTCTTAGTTAAAGAGGGATACCCTCATTGGAAGCAGTTCAGGGAAGGCTCACTTGGCCGATTACTGGGATGGAGGAGTTGTTTCATGAAGAAAGATTGAGCAGGTTACACCTATATTCAAGAGTTTAGAAGAATGAAAAATTACTGAAACATACAAGATTTTGAGGGGGCTTGATAGGGCATACGCTGAGATTACCCCTCCTGGAGGAAATCTAAAATTATGGGGCACCGTTTAAAATAAGGGAGCGCCAATCTGAGGTTTAGGTGAGGAAGAAATTTTTCTCCAAGGTTTGATGGGCTTTGGAACACTCTTTCAGAGAGAGAGCAACGGAGGCTTGGTTCACTGAAAAATCCTAAGCTAAGTTAGTCAGATATTTGATTTACAATAGAGAATTTGATGTTTTGGGAACAGGAAGGAAAGTGGATATAAGACCACAATCAGATCAGCCATGAATTGCATGAACAGTGTTAAAGTGGGACACAGACAAGGACTTTATTACGGTAATATAACATCTTACCTTATTTGCCTACAATGCAGGAAAACCACATCTTTCTACATTTTAAGTGCACGTTTCAGTGTTCCCAAGTAAGCTGACATCTATCAATGCCCAAGTCTCTTGAAATTCAGGACAGTGAGATATGTCACCGTGGGACCAAAACTCATATTGCGCTGTTATGAACCGGAATTCCTAACTATGCGGTTTTCTTACCATCAGTTGGAAATTTTGAAGTGCAGCCATGAGTTAATCCCCATCAGATGTATGGATTATCAAATAGCAACCTCGTGAGATCAACCAACAGCTAGTGTGCATGGTATGGGTTTAAGCCATCATGATAGTACAGCTCCGATTTTGCACAAATTAGCAGTAGGATGTAGACCCTTCGGTCCTCCCAATCCAAGCTTGTTCCAGCATTCATGAAGATCACGACTGATCTGATTATTCAACATTCCTGCGTACTCCTAATAACCCTTCACCTCCTTGCTTGCAAAGAATCCGTCTACCTCTGCCATAAAAAAAATTCAAAGGCTCTGCTCCGACTGCTTTTTGAAGAAGAGAATTCTGAAGACCCAATCTTCTGAGAAAAAAAAACAATCCTCATCTGCCGTAATTGGGAAATCTCTTACGTTTAAAGTTATCCCCAGTTCCTATTGGCTAGTTAATATTTACCCATGATAACATGTTACTCCCTACACTATGAGCTTTTATTTGTTACAATAATCTTTGAACGATTACATTCTCTTCTCTGAGGTTTCACAGGGCTATGTCCAAACTGCAGCCACATGGACAAACAGGTAACTAGATTTCCTACGCCAATTAACAGGGAGTTCAGAGCAGCTACAAGGCAACGATTTGCAACTTACAGCTTGACCTTCCTCCACGCCTACCTTGGTCAGTACTGTTTGGGTAAGTTCTGTCTAACTTATCCAAATTTATACTTTTGAACAATTTAATCAAACCTGGCATGATCATGCCATGCCAATCACTCTGGCTTGAATATCTACACCATCCTGGTAAACAAAACTAAAAACGATATCCGATCCAATAATGTAAGAGTGTCCAGACATTTACTTCCATTATAAAACAGTCATCGAATGAAGATTTCTCACACACAACAGCAGAACATCCATACTTACCAATCATCCCAGCTCCATCTGAACTGAAAGTTACTCAAATGATGAGAAAACCAATTGATGAATCTGAAAAGAAACATTTGAACCATAAATCAGATATTTATCCAAATCTGGGGTAATGTAGATCAAAAAGGACCAAGGACGAAGGAGGAGAAAACCAAAACATGGGAGAGGAGAAAATACTATCAATCAGGAGAATTTCATCCTGCTATTCATTGCTAGGCTGAGCTAGCTGGCTCAGTTCACCTGTAAAGGTGAAGTGTGAGTTGACATTGGCTTACTGGAGACAACCTACAACCTTTGGCTAGCTTTGAAATGCTACAACACACCAGCCAAGCTCATGCAATACATTCTATTGCTGCAGAATTCATCTCCAATATTAACAGGTGAGTTCAGACATCAGACTTCACTATAGCAGCTTCAATTACTTGGTCAAGCACCTCATCCATCTAACTACTTCAGGGCTACAGGATGGAAATTCATTGATTAGTAACACATTCAATAGCCTGTGTATTCAAGGTAATGAGCTAGCTTTTCCAAGGTTTCTTTCTCTGTGTACAGTATAGAAAACAACTACCAACTTGTTGCAAATGCGAAGATGATGAGATTAAATGTGTCTCACTAATGAGTTACCTCTACAAAAGGTGTCCTGTAAATAATTTACAATTCACCATTTCCTAGTAAGATGATTTAATCAAACTATATCCTAATCAATATACAGTTGCCCCAGAACAATGTAAGGGTCATTGACTCATGTCCCAGACAGGAGTGTGAAATGGGCTGTAAACAATGCCATCAGTTATGATATTCCAACAAGAAAGAATTTGCTACAACATTGCTGTTGACAATAAACACAAGACCACAATGTCAGAATGACGATACAGTCCTGGGAATTTAAGAAACTTTGAAACAATGCAAACTGACAGCCCGTTGTTTCATCTGACAATAGCTCAATAGTGATTGTTGTTTTACAAAAGTAAAAGCTAATCAATTTGTATGGGTTGCCCATCTCCCCACAGATGTGCAAATCGTTCTTCCTTTACCCAAAGTGATAACTTATTTTGCAATTATTTCTTAAAGCTTACTTCACATTCACAATGCTTTATGAACAGAAATGAATGAAATTAATCAAAATATGATGAGAGATTGTAATTGCTTACATTTGAATATTTTTCAGATCAAGATTGGATTTAACACAGTGATACTTTTCCATATAAATCTATACAATGTTTATTTGGTCACTTTTGCACAAATAAAATCAAGTGACTGCCAGCACAAAAAAAATTGAGGATATTGTGAGGCTTTTCCAAGCTTAACCACTGTGAACTCAGGTAAAGACAAACGACAAGATTGCTAGCTTCCTTGCAAAATCTATATTTAATTTACTGGCGGCTGATAACAAAAGTGCTGTTTCTATTTTTATTTCTAAACGAACGAGCAAATGAATATAACTTGACAGACAACGAGCCTACCAGCACCCTTCTACATATTTTTTTAATCAACTTGTTCATATTAACAGGGAATGACAGGGTAGCTGAAGATAAACTATTTTCATCGGTTGGGGACTCTAAAACCAGGGGACATAGTATAAAAAAATTAGGGGCAGAGCATTCAGGAGAGATTTTAGGATGCACTTCTACATGCAAAAGTTAGTAGATATTTGGAACTCTGCCACAAACACCAGTGGATGCAAGATCAGTTGTTAATTTTAAATCTGAGGCAGAGCTTTTCGGTTCTGTTAAGCAAAGGTATTAAGCAGGCAGGTATATGGAGTTAGGTCACAGATCAGCTGTGATCTCACTGAGTGGCAGACTAGATTCAAGGAACTGAATTGTCTACTCTCATTCATAGTTAATACACACCTCTGGAGCAAATCTTGAACTTGGGCGATCTAAGTCAGAGGTGGGGACACTACTACTGCACAACAGCCCTACCAGCACCATTCTATAAGTTGTAGCAGTGATTCAGTGAGAAGGCTTAAGTCACTCATGTTATAATTTTGGCATTGCATATGGTATAGGTTGCTAAATTTTCACCTAATTCTTTGTAAATCAGGTAAATATATAGGTAAAATAAAATATAGTGAACAATGAGTGATTCCCAGAGCTCCCTTTACCATAATACCAGACAGAGGACAAACAACGTTCATTATCCACAGCTCTACAAACATAAACCTTAAATAAAATTTAAGTACCTCAGTAGTATCTTGGCTTATTTTCCAATATACTATTTCTCAGAATAAAGCACCTTAATTATCAAATTATGCCGAAGAGGACTTGGGCTCTGCATTTCTCAGATGTGTGGATTGAAGGGTAATCTGAAGTTTTATAAAATGAAAGAAGTAGAATGTGTTTCAATTAGGTAGGTTACGGAGGCTCAGGGGGGCATAAATTGTGTAAGGTCAGATTTAGGTTAGGTGAAGAGGTAATTCCTTTCTGAGAGAATAACAAATCTCTGGAACAGGCTGGCAGATCACAGTTTTTTTTTTTAAATCAACCTGCTTATAGGTGTAATTGCATGCCTCAGGCACAGCTGGGACTTGAACCCGGACCTCCTGGCTTAGGAGAAGGGACACTACCACAATGTTACAAGAACCCTCACGGCTGGTGGAGCATGCAATGGATGTTATTTCTTGATAGCTGTTTCTGGTTGAGATAGCCAACACTTCCTGAAAATGGTAGGTGCTTTAGGGAATTCAGTGTTTTCTTGATCTTCAGGGTTACTTTTGGCCACTTGAATGGCTTAAAGAGGAACTTCCCATATTTTCTTTCATTAGGTTGATCATTTTTTTTTAAAACCTGGTTTTGCCTCTCTCACATGATTCTGGGGTGCAATGGAAGAGAAAGACAAATTGTGATTGGCAAGATATTAATCATTTATCATAAGCTAGGCACAATGGCTCAGAGGCTAGCACTGCTGCCTCACAGTGTCAGGGACCTGAGTTCAATTCCAGCCCTGAGTAACTGTCTGTGTTTAAACGTTCTCCCCTTGTCTGCGTGGGTTTCACCCCGGTGCTCCAGTTTCCTCCCACAGTATAAAGATGTGCAGGCTAGGTGGATTAGACATGGGAAATGCAGAGTTACAGGGATAGAGTAGGGGGCTGGGTCTAGATGGGATACTCTTTGGAGGGGCAGTGGATTGGCCAAATAGCACTGTCAGGATTCTATTATTCTAAGAAGGTATTTTCTATCAGTGTTTCCATGTTCAACAATCCAGTTTTCTTCACTCTCTTGATGGTCAATCCAGCTATGCTGCTACTAATGCTGGCAACTGTGCACAAGTGCATATTCCTTAAATCTAAGGCCAATTGTTAATTACCACAGGCTATTTAATACAAGGTCCATAAAGCATTACACCAAACTTTCAAGCTATCCTCAGGTGATATGTACAAACATGCATCTTGCATTGGAGCGAGTAGTCAATTTGAGACATTAGAAATTAAATGAATTTCCTCCTCACTGATCCAGGGATACTTGAAACCAATCATTCACAGTGAATCCAATAACTTACTGATCAAGAACAATCAACCTGGCACACAGCAGCCAATTAAAATTGAGGCATTACTGGTGTGTTCACTGACAGACCATACAGTGGACATTTATCACTGAGACATCAGCCAAATCCTTAACCCGCTGTTCAAAACTTAAAAAACATTGCAATGAGGAGTGAGAGCAAGTATTCCTCTTTAAAACGATTGTGACCATTAAGTAAAATACATTTCCCTTTAATCATGATAGTTCCTCAGTTATAGAAAAGTCAATTAACAATGACTTATTAACTGAATCATTTGATACAAAAATTCTTCAAATTACAAGAGTAATCTAAAACTGTTTTTACAAACAAAAATAGAACTGAAGACAAAATTACCTGTCTATGCAAATTGTATTCATAGTATCGATCCGCATATATAGCATCTCTGTAGCTTGTGCAAGCTAAGATGTACCAATTAAGTAAAACACAAAACATGATCATCAGAAAATTGCAGTCACAAAGGAGACTGCTAACATGAGTAAAACCCCATTTTTTGTGAAGTAGTTAGGATCTGTAATGCACTGAGTGTAGTGGGGGCATACTGAATTGTGGCTTTCATAGGGGATTGGATAATTAGATAATGTATAGAAAATATTTGCTGTGCTAAAGGAAAAAGGTGGGGAGCGAGACTAGTTGACTTCCACTTGCAGATAGTTAGCATGGACAGCCAAATAGCCTTCTTGTGTGTGAGAATCAAATCTATCATTACGTTTTCTCTTTGCAACTTAACAAGCAATCAGAGATTCAGATACTCTTGGTAACTATTACCTAGTGAGTTAATAATTTCATGCTGTAATCAAATTTATGCATCTTCTGGAACAGTGAATTCATCATACCATACAGCTTCAGGGAAACATCTAATGCTCTATTCTCCAACACTCCTGTGTAACATTGTTAGAATTCAATTCTAAATTTTATAACCTAAACTGCTGATTATAATCCAGATATGTAGAATAAACAATTTTAAGCTTTTAATTGGAGATGAAATATTCCTAATTACCATATATCAATGTTACAACATTAAGTGTTTCCAAAACTACCACTTGGAAAGTATATATTGAAATACAGCAGACATGTGACAAAGACACCAGAACCAATGTATCATAGCAATATCCAGCATGGACTAGCTCCTGCAAGTCAATATCCAGGTAAGTCCATAGCGTAAATCTGCCCTCCTCTTAAGTTCGTCATCAATCTACTTACTTCTGCAATCACTCAGGTTCCTGAACCAAGATATTGAAAAATGGGGGGGGTCTCCTTTGTTGGGAAATCAACTGTGAAAATCCATACAACTGATGAATATCATCATACAGACAGAAATAGCACTTGATATTGTAAGTACTCTACGCCATCCCTATATTTCCTCCTTAGCATTGAGCCTATGTTTGCTGCAAATAACTAACATTAACAAAAGGATACCACTTGCGGTAAAGAGCCAGGCTGCAGCTTGCAGAGTTCAATCAACAGTGTTGTATACATGACTTCAATGTGAGGGGGTGAGGGCAACTGGAAAAGCTCTCCGAAGACAACCTATAAAACAATTATTAGCATTATTGAAAATGAGCTATTAATTTACTGTACATTTACTGAACAGAAATGTATAACTGCATAAATTCTTTATAGAAGAACAATTATCCCAACTCATCCTGCATTATCCATCATCTTAGCAAAAATATGAACAACAAAAATGTCAAGTTAACAGGTGTCAAAATTCTCTTTTTGTTTGTGACACTTTAATGCTTAAAGCTGTACCACAATATCAATAGGACCAACTTTTGCAAAAAAGTACATATCACTGAAATGATAAAGGGAACATGCAGAAGAGGGGAATGTTCTCATAAATCCCAACTATTAGAAGGTGGTCTCATTATAGAATCAAAATGATTTACAACAAAAAAGACCATTTAACATAAGAACATAAGAAACAGAAGCAGGGCTAAGCCTTCTGGCCCATCTGTCATATGATTCATATTTTATCGGTTTCCTCGAAGTCAATTACTACCCTCCCCTACATTTCCCATGCGCCATTTAAAGACAAAATTTTGTCCTGTATGCCAAAGGCCAGATCATTAAGGACAGATCATCAAAAGAACAGTAATCCAACACCAACAACTTGGGAGTACTACTGAACACTTTCCTTGGAGTAAAAGATGTCAATACAGCAATACTCTCTGCATTGTATTGCTTTACTACTGATGTACTTCAGCTGCGAAACTCCCTTTAAAGGCCAAGGGAGCTTCTTCCAACAAAGACATGGCATATGCTCAGCTCAAGTGACGGCTCCTTCACCATCAGAACACTAGAAAGATTTATTTCCAGAATTTTACGTAATTCAACAAGCTCAATCTCTAGTTCAGTAAAGTAAAAACTTGGTATAAAATAGACTGTTTGTTTATGTAATCCACACATTCTACATATTGGCTAATTTATTACAACGGAAATTCGAATTTCCAACAAGATAAAATGTGAGCTACCAACTTGCAGTAAAAAGGAACCCACCTCAACTATATGGTAATTCAGAGGAATCTTGTTTTTTCCAGGATAACTAAGCAGCTGTGCAGCACTGTTTGAAAGAATAAAAGATTCGCAAAGGTAATTTAGGCAAAACCATAGATACTAACCACAAACATCAAACTGTGTTACATTGAGAATCGTGAATATGAAGTTGCATTGTCACCATGAAAACAAAGATTTTACATTTGTGCACAGACCAAATTTAGCAGTTCAAATTAATCTTACCTCAGTTAGTCTGCAACTACAACATGAGGATCAGCCACTAAACTTGAATAATGAATTTATGATAAAGGAGCAGTGCTGACAGCAAAAGAAATTGATTGGTGGTTCCTGCTTCTATTTAGCAGGAATACCCATATATTGTTTTGGAATTTCTGCTTTCCTTCCACCCCTTTTCATATTTAGCTGCTTCATCAATTACAAGATTGGATGTTAACTGATCATTGCAAAGTGTCAGTACCATTTGCAATTCCTCAGACACTGAAGCAGTTTGTGTTCATATGCAACAATACCTGGCCAACATTCAGACTTAGGTTGATAAAGTGGCAAGTGCAATTCATGCCACACAAGTGCCAGGTAATGATTGATTCCCAGATGAGAGAACTAACCAACTCCCCTGGATTTTTCAAGGCAACAATACCACAGAATTCCCAATCATAATATATTCTGGAGGTTACCAGTCATTTGAAACTACAAGTTCTACCTAAACTAGCTCACCTCCTGACTCCTGAAAACCTATCCACCATCTACAAGGTAGAAGTCAGGACTGTGATGGAATACTCTACACTTGCCTAGACGTGCACCGCTTCAACAACACTGGAAACTCAACACCATCCTTGATGAAGCATTCCACATAACTGGCACCCCATTCATCATCTTAACATTCATTCTTTCTAATACTGACACACAGTAGTAGCATCGTCTACAAAATGCACTGCATCAATTCATCAATGAGAATTTGCACTCTTGCACTGATTCTCTCTCTGTAAAAATGAAGCCTTTTGAAAGAATCGCATTTTGTGCAATGCACTGTAACTGGGTTTCTAATGGTGTATTAACTTTACAGTTGCTGCTAAGCACCTCCTTGACCATAAAGCGCTTACTTGTACATTTTTTAAAAAAATGTTCAGGCATGTTGTGAACACACCCAGAGCAGGTGGGATGAACCCAAACCTTCTGGCCCATAGGTGGGACACTACCACGGCACCACAAAAGCCCTTAGAAGCTTACTTTTATGTTTGTGGAATATCAGATTTTTCCTGGATAATACGTTTCTTTGAAAAAGTATATACATCATGAAAACTTTATGCCTGATTTAACTTTCACCTGAATCCAATTGCAATACATTATTGTCTCATGTGAGCATTCAGAAAAAATATGAATGACATGAAGTGCGCTTTTACTTTCTGGTTTATTGTGTGTGAATATTTAATTGTAATCAATAACTTATCTGCTTCCTGATCTGCTTACCAACATCAATGCTGCTGCATGCTGCTTGATTTGGCAGCGGATTTCAACATTTATCAGGAAAGGAGAACCCAAGATCTTTGCGGACAGCTTTCTTCAGGGTCAGCAGCAAGTGTCGTTGCTGACCACGACATCAGAGCACTAAACTTAATTAAACTTATTGCTTATCAGAATACCTGTAATGATATACCTCCAACCATAGATATGGAGATTGATCAGGCCACTTTTGGAATACTGTGTTCAGTTCTGGTCTCCCTGCTTTAGGGAAGATGTTGTTAAACTTGAAAGGGTGCAGAAAAGATGTACAAGGATGTTGCCGGGGTTGGAGGGTTTGAGCTATAGGAAGCAGTTGAATAGGCTGGGGCTATTTTCCCTGGAGCATCTGAAGCTGTGGGTGACCTTTATACAGGTTTATAAAATCATGAGTGGCATGGATAGTGTGAATAGCCAATGTCTTTTTCCCAGGTAAGGGGAACCTAAAACTAGAAGGCCTAGGTTTAAGATGAGAGGTGAAAGACATGAGAGGGACCCAAGGGGCAATTTCTTCATGCAGAGGGTGGTGCAAGTATGGAATGAGCTGCCAGACAAAGTGGTGAATGCTGGTACAATTACACCACTTAAAAGGCACCTGGATGGGTACATGAACAGGAAAGGCTTAGAGTATGATAGACTGTGGTGGTCCTAGAAGATGGCCTGACAATGTCTTCTAAACAACAATTAGAGTCAGCAACAAAATGCTGGCCTTGCCTGTCATTTTCATATTCCAAGAAGTATTTAAAAATCTTTCCTCTATTTCTCATTTTTTAGTACATTTGCTGTACATAAATTAAATCTTATATAATTCCGCCAGCAACCCTCACAAGAAAATGTCACTGCAGTACTGAAACAAATATTATTGAGATTACCATGTTTTTCTTTCCCTCCAATGAGATTTGACGATGCAGTGCAGATTCTCCTCAATTACAAATCTCTCAACAGAGTGGCTACCAGGCATTACTGGGCCCTAAGGGAAGAGATAACAGTAGAGGTTTAAAACAAAACTATCATGTTTAGTGCCCATATAATAAGAAGAAATAAAGATATCCAACAATCAATAAATTATTATTCCTGAAACTAAAACCAAGAGACAACGGATATTGAAAAGGACGACAAATTCCAAGACCTGAACAATTTTTACAAGAAGAAAATATTGTTCACCCCAAAACATCTTAGTTACCTATATGAACTACAAAACAAATGTTCCAATAATGAAAACAAACTAATTCTAGAGGTGATCATCAAGCGTTAAAATCTTAAACAGCACAAGGGAAAATGAAAGAGGATTAGAAAGATAAAAGGGCAATTTAAACAGCAATTTTATACATATGAAGCCAGAGAGAATACAACACTAGCAGTGTTGCAACTTATGCCTTGGATCACAGCATAACTAGACACAGGCAATAAATTACTTTAAATGCAAGTACTTTCACTGATATTGCTGTTCAATTCAGCAATTTGGACAATCAGCAGACTTTAGCAGAAATGAGTAAGCACATTTGCAGCTGCATTAAATATTCCAGCCAATGATCCAAAACCTCAGGAAACAGGCCCACCTGTGCTGCAATGGTAGAGTCCCTACCCCTAAACTGGGAGGCCTTGGTTCAAGTCCCACCTCTTCCACAGCTGTGTAATAAAATCACTGAACAGGTTGATTGAAAAAAATGTCCAAAACCTGAGGCGGGGTTCCTGTGGTGCAGTGGTAGTATCCATATCTTTGGACTGAGGAGGCTTGGGGTCAAGTCCTACCCGTTCCAGATGTGTGTTATAAGATCACTGAACGGGTTGATTAGAAACCATCTCCAATACCAGGATGGAGCTGGGGGCTATGAGGCTCTGGGCCTCGGGTGGGGGATGGTGGGCCTCATGTGGCTAAGTGGTCTGTCATCAACTCTGGACTAGGAGACCTGGGTTTGATTCCTACCTGCCCAACACGTTATTATGACTCTGATCGGCTGTCTGCAAGCTCTTAAGCTCTTAAAAAAAAACTCTCCTTTTCATTGATGTCTCCTCATTTAAATCTCCTTAAAATGTTTTTTTTCCCCCCCATCAAGCATATAGTTAATGAAGGCTTCTGAAACATCCTTTTTGGCTCAATCTACTTGGCTGAAAATTCTGATTATGAAGTATCTGGGATACTTTATTATAAGGATGGCAATATGAATGCATGTTTTGTTGTAGATGCATGCTTAGTGAAGTGTTTGGATCTATTAAACAAAAGCCTTTAAACACAAAGGGGCTTACAGCCTTCTGTACTGAGATTAGAGGTGTAAGAGGTTAGGGGTTTTAAGAGCACTTCTCAGAGGTGGCATTGCCACAATCTTTGGAGTGGTCCATCCTGCATTTGTCCTTACCTCCAGCCAGCAGTTACTAGCCACTGGTTGTCAGGATGAGAGAGAAGTTGATGATGCACAGCTCTCCCTTTCTCTATAATCTAATTCATGTGTAAGTCACGTTCGTCATCTATCAGTTTACCAGACTGATTCCTGGGATGGCAGGACTCATATATGAAGAGTGACTGGGTCAGCCCGTACAATAACCACTGGAGTATGAAACAAGGCGGGGAGGTTAAACAGAATCCCATAAACTTTGAACAGGACTACACAGGGTAAACACAAGAAGGATGTTCCCGATAACAGAGAGTCCACAGCCAGGAGGTCACAGTCTCAGGATACAGGATAGGCCATTTAAGGCCGACATGGGCAGAAATTTCTTCACCCAAAGAATGACGAGCCTACAGAATTATTTGCCACAGAAGGCAGTTGAGACCAAAATACTGAATGATTTTTAAGGAGTTAGGTATAGCTCATAGGGCAAAAGGGATCAAAAGGTATGGGGAGAAAGTGAGAATAGGATACTGAGTTGGATGATCAGTTCTGATCATAATGAATGGCAGAATAGGCTCAGAAGGCAGAATGGCCCATTCCTGCTGTTCTTTTTTATGTTTCTATCATTAATTTGCTATGAGCCAAGTGGTATTCGGTATGTGGCAGAACAGCTGTGCCTTCATTGGGAGGTGTACGAGGAATCTGCACACACAGAACAATGAGGTAATTCAGAAACTAAATAGAAGAGAAACATTGGCTCTATTGCATTTTTGTCAATGATAAAACATTACTATCCATGCACAATGCTGATTGAAACAGCAACACTGTCCAATGCAACTCACACATGGCTGAATTAAAAAATCCGCTGCCAGCGAGTCAGTGTGGTTTCAGAAAAGGTCAAGTATACATTCATATGGAGTTTCCAGATAGTCAGCTCATGTTTACTGACTTAACAAAGGCCTTTTGAACAGTCAGCCATGATAGGCTGTGGAAAGTAATGAAGTTTGGCTGCCTGAGAAATTCATCATGATTGTTCAGCAATCCAATGACACATATTTGCATGTGTCCTGGATGATGGTGAGTCTTCAGATCCAATCCTAATCACTGTCAATGTTAAGCAGGGCTACCTGCTAACCCCAACCTTATCTGGATACTTTTCTCCATCGTGCTCTTTGATGCCATCCATGATCATGATCCTAGGATCAAAGTCAGATACTGCAGAGATCGGAACCAACTCAATCTGAGACAATTCCAGGCAAAGACCAATGTTACCCTGGCCATAGTCAATTTCCTGTTTGCCAATGTCTGTGCACTAACTGACCGTTTAAAGCTGGATATGTATTGTAGTCTGGATTTGTTCTCCAATGCATTCAACAACTTCAACCTTATAATGAGGTCAAAAATCACACAACACCAGGTTATAGTCCAACAGGTTTATTTGAAAATACTAGCTTTCTAAGCTCTGCTCCTTCCTCAGGTGTAGTGTGGAAGAAGAGATACACTGATATAGAATTTATAAGCAGAAAGGTAACAACCCTAAAAATAGCTTGCTGACTGCCTCCTGTTGAATCTTTAATCAGTTAGAAAGGACACACAGGTTTCTATTGATTAAAATGCAAATCCCAGAATTTCTCTCAAGTCAGTGCCCCGAGATAATTAAAGGTTTTATCAGTGTATGCAAGAGGTGTCATCCCAGGTCAGACAATGCATTTTAGGTGCGAGGCCCTGTTTAGAATCTGTCTGTGTTTTAACCTGGAGTCAAGCTAGGTTTTTTTTTGAACAAAATGGGACGTATATGCAAATACACAAATATCTTAGATGAAATAATTGTGTGTCTGTGTGTACGCGCAAGCATGCACGTGAAACAGAGGGAGAGAGCGTGTGAGTGCATGAGAGAGCGTGAGAGCTAGTGGGGACGGGGGAGGGGGGGGGGGAAGAGAGAGTATATAGTGAGGTGGGGTCACCTGTAGCGCGACACAAACCCAAGATCATGGTTGAGGCCACCCTCATGGGTATGGAACCCAAGATGTCTGTGTATTTGCAGATATATTCTATTTTGTACAAACAAATAAAACCAGCCTGATTCCAGGTTAAAACACAGATTCTAAACAAGGCCTCACACCTAAAATGCATTGTCTGACCTGGGATGTCACCTCTTGCATATAATGATAAAACTTTTAATTCTCTCAGGGCAATGTCAAACCCAAGGTTTCACGTACCCAGAAACTGTCAGCAGTGGAGAAGTCCTGTTCTCTCAGCAGCATGCTCCTGAATGCTGTCTATACTGAAGACAAAGTACAAGCAAGAATTGCTAAATCTAATCTAGCCTTTGGCAGTCTTTGAACATCAGTCTCGAGAGGAAAGGGATTAAGTCTCCATGTCAAACACAGCAGATAAAGTAACAGTACTACCCTATGTACGCATGACTTGGACTGTGTACAAGAGTCAGGCCAAGAAGCTCAACCACCCAAAGGATGCAGAAGAGATTGCCAGGAGAAGCACTAGGCATAATTAAAAATTAGGTATTAACCTGGTGAAGTTACGACATAGGACTTCTTACATACAATGGACAGAATTAAGCAAATTACAACTAACAGATCAGATCAAAGGTCTACAGTCTTGCTACATCCAGTAATGGATGAATGATGAATAGAACAATGGTAGACAATTAAACAACTAGCCGGAGGAGGTGGCTACACAAATATCCCCGTCCTTATTGACAGAACAGGGTGACATCAGTGCAAAAGACAAGACTGACGCAGTTATAACCATCTTCAGCCAGAGGTGTTGAATGGATGATCCATCTTGTTCTTGCCAAGGTTCCCAGCATCATATCTGCGAGGCTTCAGCCAGTTTGATTCTTCATGTCACATGAAGTGGGACAGTTGATAATGGACACTGCAAAGACTATGGACCCTGATAATATTCTTGCAAAAGTGTTGGATGAATGTCAGGCAATAAGCATCACTTGTTGACATTCAATGGCATTACCATCACCAAATCCCCCATTTACCAACATTCTGGTGATTACCATTGACCAGAATCTGAAACTGATCAGCTAAATATGTAGCTATAAGAACAGGTCAGGTCCTGGGAATTCCTAACTCACTAAAGTCTGCAAGGCACGTCAGGAGTGCACTTGATTACCATCCATGTCCTTCGACAAGCACAGCTGCAGAACACACAAGAAGCTTGACACTACCACGTTCTCAAGTGTAATTAGGGATAGACAATAAATGTTGCACTCACCAACAATGCCCACATTCCATGACAAAATATATTCTTAAAATATCTTTCACTCAAGCTGACTTCAGAAGCTTGTGAAGTTGAGTTGGCAACTGCCAGATACAGAGGTGCCCACCAGAGCTGGAAGGCCAATCATCCAAATCATGTTCAGATTGTCACAACTGAGTTGGGATGGTCATATAACCAAAAGGCCTGACACTCTGCTGTGTACAGTTTGACTCTGGTATGCTTTCACAGCAGTCAGAAGGAGGGACATACTGAATGATGGACTTCAAGCTCTAAAAAGATTGTTGGTGAGGATCACTGCAGCTGGCGTAAGCAAATAAAAATGGAGTGGCTTCCTTCAAAAACAAGTGCATATCAGAGGCAGAAGTGAAATGAAAGGAGGAAGTACTCAGCCAGTAACCTCCTAAAACTCAATATTCTGCAGTATTCTGTCCTATTTACAGCAGAACTTCCCAAGCACTGACTGGCATTATATATCTAGGTCACTATATATCCACCAATACTCCAACACCAAATACTGTAGACGGTCAATATAGTCAACTTCCCCTTGAAGGATAACAAAGAATGCTTAGACCGAGACCCCATATCTCCTTATTTAATTCAAGATGTAAATGCATTAGAAATGGTTTAGAAAAGGTTTGCTAGACAAATACTTGGAATGGCCGAGTTGTCCTGTGAGAAAAAGTTTAACGAGCCAGGTTTGCATCTGTTGAAGTTTCGAAGGGTAAGAGACACCTTGATTGAAACATAGAAGATCCCAAGGAGTCTTGACAGGGTGGATGTGGTAAGGACATTTCCTCTTGTGGGAGAATCTAGAACTAGGGGTCATTGTTTAAAAACAAGGGGTCTCCCATTTAAGACTGAGATATGAGGTTAGTTTTTCTTTCAGAGGATTGCCTGTTTGGCACTTGCTTTCTCAAATGGCAGTGGAAACACATTCTTTTAATATTTTTTAAGGCATAGGTAGATGGTATCTTGAGAAGCAAGAGGGTGAAAGGATGTAAGGGATACGTGGGAATGTAGAGTAATCAGATCATAAAAGGATATCTTCCCTTCGCTGCTGAAAACCATAACCCTTACTGGAATACCGCAGCCACCATATCGTAGTTTCAGGGCTGTTCTTCACAATACTCTGGAAGACAAGTATCAGCAGCCAAAACTGCTTTGGGCAAGTGATGTCATGGAGATGCAATCAGATCAAATAAAGTCCCCATCTTTCAGGAACTGATCTTCCAAGAGACTCACTCACTGGTGACCAATCAGTAAATACTTAAAATTAACACATACCTCAGGGGCATCTGTGTAGTCAAACATTCTGAAAATGACTCGTGGCATAGGGTAGACGGAGTCTTTTGTGTGAGGAGGTGGAGTGAAAGGTGGCAAGTTATGTTGCAAAGCCTCACAGAGTACGCTGTCAAAAGCCAAATACGGCCTCAAGATGTGTTTCTCCTGCCAACGATCTTTCTTCATTTTCTGAATTTGCGCCCAAAGGCAATCCAAGTACTGTAAAGAAAATATTGTTCTTCAATACAGGAAAACCGTAAGGCTTTGATCAATCATTCACTCATGTTACTCAACTTTGAAACTTTTCTATTGCATTTATTCTTACAAGCAAAAAAAGTTTAAAATCAGTGCAGAAAAAGTGAAACTGGAATTACAGTGCAGGGAGTTTAATGCTGAAGTAGACAGCCAGCACTGGACAAGGAGATTTAATTATGAGGAAGAGAATTTTAAATTGGACTGTCAGGCCAGGAATCAATGAAGGACACAGATGATAGCATTAATAGCTGAGTAGGGCAATCTATGGGCAGCATATATTTACAAGAGCTGAAGTTTATGGAAACTGGACAATGGGAGTCTGAACAGACAACACTGAAATATGCCAGCCAAGGGACTCATTAGGTTTACATATCAATGCAGCAGTACAGTCAACTCATTAAATACTTGTCTGGAGATTCATAATTATCTTCTCCAGATACTAACTGCTTTCAGAATTAGATTTTGCAATTCATTTAGTATTTTGTGATATATTTAAATAAACACAGAATAACAGGACAATTACATTAATAGCAGTGCCTTCTGATTTATGTCAAATTTACTTCAGATTGAAATATTAGAATTGTTACTAATATTTTCATGGGTATATTTTCAGTGCTAATCTATAAATAACTAAAATGATTAGAAAAGAAAAACAAAGTAATTTCAGAATCAGGAATCTAGGGATGCACTGACAGAGTGAATCAAAGCTGGTGAATCATTGTCAGAGTGAATGGACCAAAATATATGTACGTGTAAAGAGGCAATATGTGAAAAGATAATGCATAAATAAGCAACAATTTGAGGCTCATTTAAAGCACATGTCAAATTCCGTAAATAATATTGACATATACAACGTTTTCTAAATTACTGCTGAGTCATGAGCATTGCATTAGTGCTCCCATTTTCCTGAATATTCAAATTTACATTACCAAGATGATTAGATAAATACTTTTGCATTTTACAGTTCAGTAAAAATCTCCCATTTTGTGAGAAGGGAGTGGGTAGGACAATGGTTTCTGTTCTCCCCGTTCCTGTAAGTTATCACATCGCCCTGTTGCCATCTGTATATTTTGGGAAGAATAAGGAGATTAATCCATGTTCTTGGATTTCACTGTGTAGATGTAAATAGCCTACAACTGGTTCCTTTCTGTCATTCCATCTTTAACTGAAACCTCACCACAGCTTTGAACCTGTTGGCCTTCTGGTTTCTGGAGTAGCATGTAACTATACTACTTGCCACCAACTTTAATGGTTCACATACAACAGCAGATGAGAGGTTCTTCAAGCAATTTCCAGACATGATCAGTACCAAGTGCACTTCTAAACACTTGAGTCCTCCAGCATATTTCTAGCAACTAGTCCCCTTCCCTAACCCAGGGTTAAGGGGCTCAATTCCACTTTTCCATAGTCCAGATGTTCAGGATAGAGACAATAAGTATAGAAATATGTAAAAGAAATTGTAAGATACCTATAACCACTCTGCCATGAGCAGCTATCAGTATCAATGAATAGTTTTTAAAAAGTTCTAAAAGAATTCAAGTCTCACTCTGCACTCCTCGAACCTCCATTCCAGCCTTTAGCTGAAATTAAATACACAGGCTGAATCGCAGACTTCCATACATCTTTTCAATATCAAGTGTCAGAGGTAGTTCCTTGACCACATCAATGGATACAACACCTTTCACCCAAAATAACATGCATTTGCTGTGCAGCAATCACTAACAGTTCATCTGAGAAGAAAGCCCCTCATTCAATAAGATCTCAAAGGAGATTTCAAATTATGTCAAGATTCCCCCAAATGGTGCAGTAAACTACACCACAATAACTTGTTAGATATCACTTAATAGAAAGACAATTCCACAAACAGCTGCACATGGCATAACCACTCTGCAAAACACATTTCCAAAATTCATGTCCAGGTTTCAAGATCCCTTAAGAGAAAAAGTGTCAATTTTCAATTAGCCTTCTCACCTCCTCCTGTGGATGAGGTTGTTCAGCAGTCCAGCACTGTAACATTGGTACGTGATGCTTTTGGCGTCTCCTACAAAGAGGTACAGCAAATATAAAGTTAAGTTGGCCCACAGAATTCTGTGCTAAACTCACTGTTCTACAAGTAGTCATAATGGTTTTAATGTCTCTGAATAGAAGCACCTCAGTTATTTTATCGTGTGTTCATTAGGATTATACAATCAAGTTAAACCAGTACATTGCGTCACAAGTTGAAACCTAGAAAGGACAGTTCAGTTTCTCCATCTCCCACCTATTCCAAGCACTGAGCCAAAAATTTGCCTTTGGTTCCCTTTTGGATATCGGCTACATCCCAACTCTCCTTCACTGGCTGAATGGTCACGAGGCTGGCTCCAGTGCCAAACAATCGAAAACATTCATTACCTTATAAAAAACCAACTTTCTAACTATGCTTTAAGTAGCAAAAAGGAAAGAATTTAGGAGAAGTAAGTAAGGATATACTCCCAGACCCTAACTGAACTTCAAGCAAAATCAATTGTCAGCAATTCTGAGTTACAAATGAACATTGTTAGAGTACTTAATTTGCATTAAACTACACTGCAAGTGAACATTTTAACTCATTTTGCTGTGGATGTTAAGTGCTGCAGCCTAATCCATATTATAATCCATTATGCAAATGCTCAATGACGTTTCTTCCTCCACGACATGATCAGAAAAAGGCAGAATCAAGAGTAACTTTCCTTGTAGTTCAGAGGGTATTTTAACCAGTATTATTCTAGAGTACACTTCTGTCAAAAATACATGTGCATTTCAAACAGGTAGTGCCATAATGGGAATACCAGACTGAATTCTAATCCATACTGCTAGTAGATGCTTTTGACTGCTATCTCATAGCAGAAGTATGCTTCATTCTCAATAACTTGGCTCTAAGCAGCTATCTAAAAGAAGAGGTTTAAAGCACAGCCATAGTAGCAGAATCTACTGTACAAATGTACTGCAAATTAGTGGATTCAAAATGTTTTAAAATCCGGACCAGGACCTGTTTTGCTCTGAGTTAGTTGCTTGGAGAAGGGTCAGTTAGCCAAATGGCTGGTTTGCAATGTAAAGTGACGCCAACAACATGCGTTCAATTCCAGCACTGGCTGAGGTTACTATGAAGGACTCTCCTTCTCAACCTCTCCCTGCTTTACCCTCAGGTTAAACCACCATTAGTCATCTATCTCTCTCTAATGAGAGAGCGGCCCTATGGTCCAGCAGGACTATGGCGCTTTACCTTTTAGTTGCTTACAGTCAAAGCAGTTATGAGGTAAATAAATTGAAGTTCACTGCTCTTGGATTTGAGAAAACAAAATAATAAAAAAAGTGCAACCAAACTAGTCAGTAGGCAATGGCATTTACATGGATGTCAATCAATGAGAGACTGGAACTGGGATTTGGGAAGTCTTTGCTCAAACAGCTTAGTGACATTCACCAGAGACGCTAACACTTGGCTAAGGAACCCAACTGGTGACAGACTCTACCAATCAGTCACCACCAAGAGGGTAAATTCACTGAAAAGGGGATAAACACGTTATGTGCAACTGAAAGAAGACATACTTTGTCGAAGCTTTTCACCTTGCACTTAGCTGGATAATTTGCAAGTAATGCCAATGTAAAGGAAAAACAATTAGACTGTTTGAGAAGAGTGGCACTGCCATATAGAATGCACCAGTTAAAGGATGACTGACAGTTAACTGCCAAGTGCTCGGTTTCTCTAGCACTTTCTGCTTTCATTTCAGATTGTCAGCTTCTGAAGTATTTTGCTTTTACTCTAGTTAACTGCCAAGCTTTGTCTGAATTTTAAATTGGGAAGTTTATTCTGATTAATAAAGGCATTTCTTAAGAAATGAATCAGAAAACAGCTGTTGTCTACTTTAAACAATTCAGAGTGTGAGAAGAATTATATGGACAACCAACTCAAGATTGCCAGTTGGGCGCACAATGTGGCACATGCACATAGTGGAAGCTGTGTATATTAACAGCCAGGGCAGTACTTTGCAGTCAGAAAGAACATGTTCACATATTGTGCTGTTTTAACCCAACAAAATAACAATACATTATCTGGTCTATTGCAGTCATTGTTAAACTGGTGCATTCTCCAGCAATACCTCTACCAATCAGTACTCTCTTCTCATACAATATGTTATTTTGCCTTTATAGTGCTTCATCTTACAAATTGTTCTGACGAGTACAAGGCAAAAATCTTCGACATATGTCTTTTCCCAGCGATACTAAGTACTGTACATCTTACCATAATATCTTATGCAATTCTTGTATCTGTCACATGATCTCAAGCAGTCTTAAGGCCTGCTGAAACGTGTTCTGTGCTCCCAGCCTGCTTTACGTCCTTCTTCAGATTTTGGAAGGAAAAAGTGCCCAAGAGAGAAAGTCAGTCATCTATTGGTGTTTAGAAATGCAAATTGAGAATTTGAGTATGTAATCATTCTCATTGGAGATTGCAGAGGGAATTTCAATTGTATAGGCGAGCTGAATCAGATGGAAATATGTTTCAAACTGCACTGTCAAGGACTGCCAAGTTGCAGCACTTACATCTATCGATAGGGGATCTTATCTCAAACCCCTCCTCAAGACAAAGAGCAGGGAGCTGTGAAGTCCGCAAAAAGAGGAACAACTATTATGTAGTATGATTCAAAACAAAAAAAAAATAGATGAGAGAGAATTGTGGAGGGAGGAACTGCTAGGGGTACCTGGACAGCCAAATTATTATTTGGCAGTTAAAGAATTTGGCATCAGCTTGGGGGAAAATAAAAAAAAAATATAACAGGTCATTATTTCAATTTTAATTTATTCTAATTAAATCAAATTTCATTGCCCAAAACATTGCATATACCACCTACTATGCTATGCAGATCTCACTCAAGGAATGCTGGGTTAAAAACCCATACCTGGTAATAGCTCAAGAAATGAAAGGCTTCATTAACCTATCTGAATGCAAGAATTAAAACTGCCAGCACTCTCAAAATACTATACACAAATTCATATTAGAATCTTAGGATTTCATTTATTAGTTAAAAAGCAAACAAAGGATGTAAATAATTAACTGCAGCAGGCGAGACATGTTTATACAAAGAAAATTAGCATTCAGCCAGAAGTAGATCCAAAGATAACTTAATGCTCAAACTTTAGTTTTGCATATATTATTATAATATCATCCAAATTTCTTGCTTACCAATTTGTACGCCCTCCCAAGGCTCCATTCACAGCACACCACAGCCACAAAATATTTTTACTTTGCTTTAGCTTTTCATTAGATGAACGAAAGCCCATTGTCAGAACACAGCCCAATTCTGCATCAATGATGTGGAGGTGCTGGTGTTGGACTGGGGTGGACAAAGTCAGAAGTCACTCAAGACCACTTTATAGTCCAACAGGTTTATTTGAAATCACACAAGCTTTCAGAGCGCCAACCCCTTTGTCAGGTACAGTGAGAGAGCAGAGCATACAGACACAGAGTTTATAGGCAGAGAGATCAAAATATCATACAACTGGTGTGAGTGGAGTGTCAGATGAAAAGTCTCTGCGGGTAACCAAGAGCGTTTGACTTTATAAACACTTGACACGCTGTCATGACAGCACAACACTGACGAAGACAATCAGGCAGACCCATAGGAATGTATAAAAAGTAACATCTCAGGTCGGACACTGAATTGTAGATGTGAGGCTTTGCTTAGAATCTCACAGCCTTAATCTGGAATC